AGAAACTTATTTAAAATTAAGTCCTTTCTGAAATTTTCTATGTACGTTTAAAGATTTTTTTAATTTTAATGTAAAAATTAATAATTTTGTACCAAAAGAACCTTAGAAAATTTACCTAACCTTATTATAACAAGCGCAATTTAATTTAGCCTAATCCAACTAAATATGTTTAAGATAAATTTACAATAATTTAATAATAAACAAACACTATGAAATATATATTTTTCGTTAGGTTCAAAATGATTTTCGCGAAATTATTGCATACACAATTTTCGCTTGCCTTATTCGGCAAGAAGAGCGTTGCTATTTAAGCCAAAATCGCAGGTTTTACCTATTCGGCACATATATATAATGACTATATATATATATATATATTATATATATATATATATATATATATATATATATATATATATATGTATGCAATATAGATCACAGTAAACAGGTGATTTTAAATTATGCAAAACAACCACTGTGAGAGTAGTGAAATTCCAAGCGCTTTCGTGACTGCTCACATTGTCAAGGAACTATGAAAGTAATACATAAAAGGAAGGCAATAAAAGGGCTTAGACCACACTTCACAGTCAAGTCCCACCTGTCTCGCGTCAGGTGTTTCTTTGTTGTGGGACTTGACTGTGAGGTGTGGTCTAAGCCCTTTTATTGCCTTCCTTTGATGTATTACTTTCATAGTTCCTTGACAATATGAGTAGTCACGAAAGCGCTTGGAATTTCACTACTCTCACAGTGGTTGTTTTGCGCATATCATATATATATATATATATATATATATATATTATATATATATATATATATATATTATATATATATATATATATATATAATAGACACACACACATCAGAATTACGATGAACAATATTTACGTTATTATTAGGCAAACTATTGATAAACAGTGAACACAGATATCACCGAGAACCAGAGGTCAAAATAGGATATGCGCCATATTCATTACGAAGTTCCTCGGTGGCTAAAACTCGTGAGTTTTAGCCTAAATTTAAATAGCAGACTCATTGAAGATAAGTCTTGCCCCGACCCTGGTCCGCTCCTGTCTGAATTCTGTACAGATGCACGGTAACAGGAACGATCACAAGTGTCTTGTATACCTTTTACCACCTCAACTGGAGACTTTACTCGCTGAGGTTGCAAAATCGGAACATAATCGCTTACATGTGAGTTTGCGAAGTTCCTCAGTTGTAAGCTCCGCCTATAAACGATCAGGGCTGTGTTCGGACATTCAAACTAATGAATATTGGCAACAGTGGTTCATGATCCACTGAGTGTCGACTTTTGACTGCTGTTGGTCTCGTCTTGTAATTGAAGAGGATGGTCTGGGAGATGGTGAGACACTTTTGGGACGCCAAAGAACCTTGATCCGTCAGGTCAACTCCAGACAGCAGCACAGATACAAATTTCTTCCAGGTAGTAGACATGGATTCCTGTTCGCAACCAAAAGCAAATAAGCCGTATCTCTTCTTCACAGTAATTTTGGCCTAATTTCCGTTTCCACTCCTAAACAAATGAATTGCATTTTCCCCTGAGTTTTTGATCGACTGGTAGAAATAAATAGGTCTTGATCATTGGAATGCCTCAGAATGATCTAGGTCACTGGTCTCCAGCATAAAATTCTTAAATTGAATAACACGAGAAAAATTTTGGTGATTTTTGTCCAGTCTGTCTCCATGGTCTGAAAATATGGCTCGAGGCTGCCTGGTTAGGATAACATATACCAGACGTAACAGGGAGCTGAACACTAGGTTAAACATCGTAATGTTATATTGCCAATCTAGACATAATGTTGAACGTCGTAATGTTAAGTGTTACTGGGCATACTGGTGCCTTACATCGCACATTACTGGTGGGTAGGGAATAAATCACCTACATAATGCGAAATATGGATTTATGATATTAATGACACGATAACGCTTCAATGCGAACGAAACATCGCCAAAAAGGCTTCCTTGTAACACCAATTTATTTCCATATTATTTATCATTAGTGTAATAAAGATGATTATTGGCATGTGATGTAAGCATTTCAGCTTAAATGAACTTGGAGTCATTAATCATTTTAATATATGCCCCTGACCAACATATGCGTCCCTTTACTTAGTGTTTTGTTAACATAAGAAGCCCACATTTCCAATGTATTTTTCTCTGTTTAGTGTTGAATGTTATTGTCTATTTAATTGATAATATTTTTTATTTTAATAATTGGATCTTTTCATTAACCTATTTTATAATATCCCGTATTAAGACTTTATTTCAGTCCCTTTGTATACATTAATTTTAGTTAAATATAACCTAGTACATTTACAGGTATGTTCTTATCTACTGGGTTTAGTTTGACTAGTTATTGTCTTTTATGTTGAATATATTAAATGATTACATTTGTAATCCTCTAGTTTCTAGTTATACTAGTATTAAATTTATGTTCACCCTTAGTGATACATATACATAGGTTAATTTAACCTAGGTATGTAACTAGGTTAATGTTGACCTAGGTATATAAACTAGGTTAATGTTAACCTAGGTATATAAGCTAGGTTAATGTTAACCTAGGTATATAAACTAGGTTAATGTTATGACCTAGGTATATAAAATTAGGTTATGTAAACTAGGTAATATAATAGGTTGTATACCTAGGACATATAAACTTAGGATAATGTCTTAGCCCAGCTTATAACCTGAATTATGTTAGCTGGTAATGTAAACTAGTTAATGTTGACTAGGTATATAAACATAGTTTAATGTTAACCTAAGTATATAAACTAGGTTAATGTTAACCTAGGCATATAAACTAGGTTAATGTTAACCTCGGGTAACCTAGGTAGTATGTTGGCACCGAGCTCCCACTGCTGGTTATGTAAAAAATGTAATATATTTTTGCTGTTTTTTTTTTTTTTTGTCATGAACCCAGCAGAAGAAAACACTTTTACGTGTATCAATGTCTTTGTCACTTTTTAAATCCTCTGATATATGTGGACTTGGTAAAAAAAAAAATAACTCACAATGTGTGGATACATCGCAATACTGGTAACAAAGTTACTTTATCCGATTATTCTATATGCAGTAACCCGCTCATAGGAGAAATAAGCTTATAATGACGTTTCCATCCAACTTGAACCATTAACTAGTTATACAGTGGTTAATGGTCCAAGTCGAACCGAAACGTCGTCATAAGTTTTTCTCCTAAGTGCGGGTTATTTGTGTATTGTTCCAGTGAAGGTATTTGCCTTTTTATGCTTTATGACCTTTTTTTTCATATAAATCTTCGCCATTATTAAGACTTAATTGAGCGTCCTTCATATCTCAACTTTCCTGCATAATGTTTACTCCCCGGCATCGCCAGTATGGCTGGTCATCAGGTTACTGTGATAATCGTGACTTGTGTTAAAACACTTTGTAACTGCGAGACTTTCCTCCCTCCCGGCCCAGGGAACACAGCCTACTTGTTAGGAATCATTATCATGGAGTATTGTGCCATGTTATTGATTTACTTTATTTTGTGTTTTAGTATTAATGATCATAACTGATTTTAATGTATCTAATAGTTATGTAATACTAGGACCACAGTGGAAACAGCCACTTGACTTTTTTGGGTGATACCAGATTATTTACACAGATCTTACTATGTAAGACAATTGCAATCATTAAAAAAATTATATTGTACCTAAATAAACTTATTTACTATTATTTTTTATCGTTGTAACACTTCGCCAATCAACATTTCGTAGAGAACATAACCGCCAACAATTCAGCCTCATATATTTCAACCAAGAATATTTCACACTTGAATATTTTAGTCACAACCAGCTGGGTCCCGGCAGACTTCTTAATAACACTGCAATAAATAGAGAACCAAGGATTCCACTCACTGGAAATTCGTATTTCAAACCGCGGAAAGATCAGGAGGTGATGGCTATAAGACATTGCGTTCATTTTTTTGACGCTTACAGCCTAATTTGGGAGAAGTATGTGGGGAGACGATGACCACAAGGGTCACCTCAGTGATGAGTCAGCGAAGCAACACAGCCTGCTGGTCCGCTAGGCTCTGCCTCGCCAATAGACTTGACCAAGAAAGAAAAAAAGTCTAGACCAAAAAAAAAAGTGTTGAGTTGCTTTATTTGATTTTGTTTTTTCTCCGTTGGTTTATTAGGCTTAAAGTCTATCAACTACACGAGAATTGTTAGGCAGCATGTCATATGTGCTCCACCAGTAAAGAAGGCTTTAGTTCCTTTAATCGAGATTAGTCTCAGTGTATATAACAAAAAAAAAAAAAAGAAGAGAGGGAAGGAGAGATCACTGTGTATATACCCCCTCTGTCTGTTTTTTCTAATTAACTTTTTTCTGTTAGTTCGAACTACAACGAAAACTTTGAATATTTGGGATAGATAAACGTTTGTTTGATCAGTAGTCTGCTTAAAATTCTGTTTATTGTTCTTTCTGTTTAAGAGAGATCAGTCACCAGTCACAAGCAGTCCTCATACATAAAGATTATGTACACTTGGACAGCTTTTCTTGCCAATGGAAAATTTTTGTAGTTACAGTAGAGGATAATTTTGTCATTGATCTACTCCTAAACATGTAGTTAATATATATTCTGGCTAAATTTATAGATTTTTTATAGTGTTTAGAATGTTTACATTGTTTGCATTAAGGGTATATGATTATTATTTTTTAAAGTGGTGATAAATTACAAAGATTTAACGTAGATTAGCAACAAAGGTTAAATAGTACTACTGTAGTATTTCCTTGGTGTTACTATATTTTATAGTATTATTAATAATTGTTTATATGCCATTCAGTAGCAGAAATGTCGACAAAAATAGCATAGTGTTTCATTTGTATGGTGCACTTTCAGTAGTAATTGTTTAACAATTAATTAGCAGTAATGACAACAATAGTACTACAGTTTCGTGTAAATGTGTGTATTAATAGTAATATTGATAAATAGTTCATATGTGTTGTTAATATTGTTGCAGGAGGCGCCATGGTCGGGTGGACGGCTCGGTGGGAGCCGGGCGCGGGGACGGAGCTTCATCACCACCACCGTGTGGCCCTGACCGACCACGTCGCCCTTCCCTCCACGCCCACGCCGCCCCTCCACCACCCTAGTCACGCCCACAACCACGCCGCACATCTTCAGCCCCTCAGCAGTCACCCACACAGTTCTCCTGCAGAGGGCAGCAACATCTGGTGTGTGGAAGCTGACCAAGGCTGCAGGCAGGACCCTATTCCTTCGTCTTCTCGTGTACCTGATGAAAACGCTGGTTTTTCTGGTGTAGGCCTACCTGTAAGTAGCGTAGTAGGTCCGGCACCCCCTCCACACGACCATTCCTTCCTGTGTCGCGCTTCTGCACCTGCGGCCGTTAACGGTACTTCACGAGCGCCCTTTGTGTGTGGTGGGAGCGAGCGGTGGGGGTCCTCGCAGGACACAGAACCTCTCACTACCAACGGGGAGGTTGGACGCAGGAAGGTGAACGGTGCTATAGTGAAGATGGCAGCCGTGGAGGAGACCTTGACGGAGGAGGAGGAAGAAGGGGGGGAAGGGGAATACCTATGTGGACTTGGACGATGGTGCTCCCCAAGTTGGGTTCAACGCTTTGCCACCAAACAGATGTTCCTCATTGTGTTTTCTTTAACGTCAGTGCTTCAGGGGATGTTTTACACGTACTTTGTAAGTGTGCTCACTACCGTAGAAAAGTTGTTTCAGTTAAAGAGTAAAACAACCGGGATTATTATGAGTGCTACGGAGATGGGCCAGATAGGCGGTGCTCTCCTTCTTGCCTACTACGGCGGCCAGGGACATAGACCTAAGTGGATAGGCTGGGGAATGATTCTCTTCGCCTTCTGCGCCTTCCTCTGTTCCCTTCCACATTTCTTGTTCGGCCAGGAGCTCTTGAGGAAGCACCTGGAGACTACGCCGTCAGAAGACAGCCCACTGGCGAGCGCTAACATCTGCAGGCAGCCAGGCGCCAAAAGCGCCATTGGCGGCCTCAACACCACTTTGGCCTCCCTCCCTCCGGGACTGCTGGAGGCCTCGCAGGATCGTCGACTCGACTTCGAGTATTGTAATTCTCCTGACGGCGAGACACAGGTGGTTCTCTCTATCTTCTTCTTGTCGCTTCTGGGAATTGGCATTGGCCAGACGGCGGCCTACAATCTTGGTATTCCATACATTGATGACAATATCGCCAACCGCGAGACGCCTATTTACTTTGGTGAGTTACTGTTCTCTTCTGTTATGTTATGTCTACCATCAATCTCATTTGTTAGTATATTCGTCAGGAAAAAAATCCTGGTAGGAGTCTTATAAGATGACCCGTTAAGTTGGTAAGTAAGATACATGTGCAACAGTTAGGTATTTTTATTCCGAAACGTTTCGCCTACACGGTAGGCAGAATTCTTCAGTCAAGTACAGAAAAGTTGGTAGAAGCAGGAGAGATGTTTTAAGACGATGTAATCAGTCCATCACCCTTGAAGACGTAGTTTTGAGTTGGTCAGTCCCTCAGCCTGGAGAAGAGTAATTATTCCATAGTCTGAAAGAGTACCTACCTGTTACACATGTGTCTCACTTAACAACCTGTCGGTATTTTATACCATTTTAATATTCATGACCCGTTAAGACTGGGGCCTGGCGAGACTGTGTAAGGACACGTAAAGGTAGGGAAGCCGATGGTCACTATGGTGGATCTGGGCAGCAGACTTAACGGTGTGGGTACATAAGTAAGACACTTGGGACAGTTGAGTATCTTTATTGCCAAAACGTTTCGCCTCCACAGTAGGCTTCTTCAGTCGAATACAGAGGTGACTAAATATGGAGACCGTAGAAGTAGTGACGATGGATTGATGTAATCAGTCCATCAACCCTGAAAAATGAGTTTTTGTGGTTGTCAGTCCAGCCTCGACAAGTGTTCTGGATCCATAGTCTGGAACATTATTGGATCCATGGTTAACTGATATAATCTCACTCCATTCTAAGCTGTACGTGTGCTATAACCACAAGGCAAATGAAAATGCTGTTCAGTCAGGGTGAAAGTGATATGTGAGTGCTCGCCTATTTGGAGTTTCAGGGGCTGAGTCACAGCTCCTTGCCCCGCTTCTTTACTGATCGCTACTAGGTCCACTCCCTGCTCCAAGAGTTTTATCGTACCTCTTCTTAAAGCTATGTATGGACCCTTGCCTCCCCTACATCACTCTCCAGAGTGTTCCGTATTTGTACGTCCAGGGAATACAGCTAGGCTCGTGGTGTCCCATCCTCATTGATTAGTCATAATTTCTTTGGTATTCCATTCTATATGACCAGCATGGATTGAGAACCTGTTTTAAATATAATAATAATTAGTATTCTATTGGCTATATTATTTACAGCCTCTTTTTCTTAAAATAGGTGGTTCACCTCACTATTTACGGAAAATATTTTCTAATTATTATTATTATTATTATTATTATTATTATTATTATTATTATTATTATTATTATTATTAGCACCGGCCGTCTCCCACTGAGGTAAGGTAACATGAAGAAGAAGAAACACTTTCACCATCATTCCTTCAATTATGTCAGAAGCGTCTGATATGACAGCTCAGATGCCCCTCCAGGCCGCAACATTCTCACCCCTCCTTTAGACTCTAGGTTTTGTACTTCCCACCTCCATGACTCAAATCCGGCTAACTGGTTTTCTTGAATCCTTTCACACTTCAACAGCACTTCAAATCATAAATACCACTTGTCTCCACTCCTATCTGATACACTCACACACGCCTGCTAGATGTCCAAGTCCCTCGCATACAAAACCTTATTTACCCCCATCCCTTCAACCTTTCCTAGGACTACCCCTACCCCGCCTTCCCTCCACTACAGGGTTATACACCCTCCTAGTCATCATATTTCACTTTACCCTTTAAACGTCAACAACCCCTCCTCAGACTTCTGAATAATAGTTTTGGTAACTTCACACCTTTTAATTTCCAAGCCACGAATTCTCTGCATAATATTAGCTCCAAGTCTTCCAGTGTGCCACAGAAAACAATACGATGCTTAATGAGGACAAATTTCAGTTACTCTTTTATGGAAAACTTTAGAAAATCAAAGCTAGAACGGAGCACAAAACAAATTCTAACCACACAATGGAGCGAAAAACTAATGTGAAGGACAAAGGGATGATAATGTCAGAGGATCTCACCTTCAATAATCACAGCAGTGTCATCACTACTGCGGGGAAAATGATAGGATGAATAATGAGAACCTTCAAAACAATGGATGCCAAGCCAATGAATGATAGTTCTCTATATGTCACTTGTTCTCTACACTAACAGCACCTTTGAAGGCAGGCAAAATTGCGGAGCTAGAGATTGTACAGAGGACCATCACTGCACTTATAAGGTCAGTCAAGCACCTTAATTACTGGGAGCGTTTAAAGTCCCTGGACCTGTACTCCTTGGAACGCAGACGAGAAAGATGCATTATAATTTATACAAGTCATCTAGCACTATAGCTTTTGTTGTGTTCAGTTCTCTATTTGTTTCATCACCTCTTCCTCGGATGTGCTGCTCTTGTATGGTCCTTGTTGGTTCGTTCATTCCTTTCCACTTTCTGGCATCCCTCCTCGTATGAATATCTCTCATTTTCTGTTCATTTCCTCGTATATCTCTGTAATCCTATATTCGTACTCCTCTTCTAGTTGTAATCCTTGGTCTTGTATAGTCATCCTCCTCGTGTGGCAGTGAAGCAGGTTTGTGTCTGACCTTTGGGGCGTTCACTGACGTCTTCCCATCACTACCACACCTGGGTAGTGCCCTTAGTTAATGGGATGTTTTTACGCAGCACCTACACACAGCATCTGTGTGTGTGTGTGTGTGTGTGTGTGTGTGTGTGTGTGTGTGTACTCACCTAGTTGTGGTTGCAGGGGTCGATTCACAGCTCCTGGCCCCGCCTCTTCACTGGCCGCTACTAGGTCACTCTTCCCGCTCCATGAGCTTTATCATACCTCTCCTTAAAGCTATGTATCGATCCTGCCTCCACTTCATCACTACCCAGATATTCCACTTCCTGACAATTCTGTGACTGAAGAAATACTTTCTAACATCCCTCTGATTCATCTGAGTCTTCAAGTTCCAACTGTGACCCCTTGTTGCTGTGTCCCATCTCTGAAACATCCTGTCTCTGTCCACCTTGTCGATTCCTCTCAGTATTTTATATGTCGTTATCATATCCCCCCTAACTCTCCTGTCTTCCAATGTCGTCAAGTCGATTTCCCTTAACCTGTCCTCGTAGGACATACCTCTTAGCTCCGGGACTAGTCTTGTTGCAAACCTTTGCACTTTCTCTAGTTTCCTCACATGCTTGGCTAGGTGTATGTGTGTAGTGTGTGTGTGTGTGTGTGTGTGTGTGTGTGTGTGTGTGTGTGTGTGTGTGTGTGCGTGTGTGTGTGTGTGTGTGTGTGCGCACGCTCGTGCGTGCTTATCTGTTTGTATTCATTTGTGTGTGTAAGGGTCTAGTCTCAGCTTCTTGCTCCATCTCTTAGCTGGCACTTACTGAGGTCTACCTTCTCGTGGCTGTGTGAGCCCTGTCACACATATTCTTAAAATTATGTATGGATTCTGCATCTATTGCTTCACTGGCTACGTAATTTCACTTTGTAATTACTTTAAAACTAAAGGAGTATTTCCAAACATCCCTGTTGCTCATCCGTGTTTTTAACTTCCAGCTGTGTCGTCGTGTACCTCAGACCCGCTTCGTGAACAGACTTGCCCTGTCTATTCTGTCATTTCCTCTCAGTTTTTTGTACGTCCTAATCATATCACCCCTGGTTCTTCTGTCCTCTAATGTCATCAGGTTTACCCTCGTTAACTTCTTATAACTCGTATCCCTTACCTCTGGGACTAATTTTCCTTCAGATCTTTGCATTTTTTTCAGCTTGATTTGCTTTATCAGATATGGGTTCCACACTAGTGCTACATACTTCAAGATGGGTCTAACATTTGCCATATACGTACTGTATAGTGTAATAAATGATTCCCTGTTGATGTGCACCTCACGTGATATGCTCGAGACTATACTCAACCGAGGTCTTCTGTCAGGAAGGTTTACAACCTTTGTCCCCTGAGCCTGTACTTTTTCCGATTTTCGTAACTTTGCAGTTGCTGAGGTTACATTCTAGTAGCCACTTGTCAGACCAATTAAGCAGCTTGTCCAGATCCGTCTGTAGTCTTTTCTGGTCTAGTCCAGTTTGTATTCTTATTATTTTCTCATCATCTGCGAACAGAGACATCTCTGTCCTTTCCTTGTCATGTCGTTTATGTACACAAGAAACAGCACTTGTCCCAGCACTGACCCATGTGGAGCCCCACTCATTACACTTGTCCGTTCCGACACCTCACAAACAATAACACAAACGAATCGTTTCCTTCACTTTAGTATGTTATAGCATTGTGCAGATTTAGGACCAGGCCCACACATGCCTTGTACTCACATATCTAATGAGGAATTTTTCTCTCCTTGGCTCCTGAGAGTTAATATTTAGAAATTTGAGGCTTTTCCATCAATTTAAAAGCTTTATTGACTCTATGTAGACCTTAATGATGTATTCCAGGTCTGATATTTCTCTGACCCTGAACAGAGCCATCGACATTGAGGGGTATCTTAAACGAGAGAACACGAAGTGATTGAAATATTGTCACCGTAGACATTATTTTCTTTGTTTTGAAAGTTCTTATTATCCACCCCCGCCATTTTTATTGCTTTTCGTGCCAGGTCAGCTGACGTTATTACTCCCAGATCTTTCACACGTTTGTTTTGCTTTATTTGGTGACCTTGCATTTTGTATATCGCGTCCTTTTTGAGTTCTTCATTCTTTCCGTATATAAGCATTCTTTCCACATATTTCCACTGAGCGACATATTCTCAGCTTTCCACTGCAAGACTGTTTATATCTTCTTGAAATTTATCCACGTATTCTACCGAGGTGATTTCGATGTTGATTTTGATACTATCTATAAATAATGGTTATGCAACTGTGACAAGTGTTTTTAATCTATGACCGCCTTGGAGTACTGAGTTTGTTACTTTACTAATGATAGATTTTGCTGTGTTGCCTTGTATTTTTTATGTTCTACTTGTTAGGAAGTTGAATATCCATTTGCGCACTTTCCCTGTTATACTTGGCACCCTCATTTCGTGTACAATCACTCCATGATTGTATTTGTGTTCGTGACAAGCA